AGCAGTGGAATCCAGGACGCGTGATTCGTCCTATTGGGGACTCGTGAGCCACTATATGTCTAAAATTACAGAATTCTCTTTTCTTTACTTTTGCTTTAATTACTACTAGTACACTAAATCAGAAAAAAATGTGCCACAACAGTACAGCTCAGAGATTTCTGCGTAGAACACAAATAACTACTTATTTAAGCGTTCCATAGACAACTCAAATAATCTTGAGTACATTATTATTATTTGTCCCTTGGGTTCCCAGTGGAAAATAAGGCTTCAGTAGCACGTCTCCATTTCACTCTCTTCTCTGCAGTCTTTTCAACCTGGCTCCACCGCTGCCCACAAGCTTTCTTTTCTTCCTCATACCATCTCCTCCATTTCACCCTCGCCTCAGACGCCCAACTCGTCGTCTCCCCTTCGGGTCCCACTTGACGGCCTGGCCTGGACTGGCCTGGCCTGGCCTGGTGCATGATGTCCACAAGTGATCTTCTCAGTGGATGCCCAATCCAATCCATCTCCACTTCCTTCTGCATATTTGTTGGGCGATGGATCCTTGGTTGGTTCGTCATCAGCCAGAGTTCCTTGTTGCTTATTCTTATTATTCTGACCATCTGACTTTCAGTATCGAGTGAGTGTAGGCGTCAGCTGTTAATGAGTGTCTGTGGTTTGTTGGAAATGCATTTCGTGACGCGCCAAGTCTGTCAACCATCACATAGAACCACTGATTTGATATTAGTGTTGTAAATCCACATCTTATTCTTTATGGTGAGTGTAGTGCAGTAGATCTCCACACTGATTTCACGTTAATGAAGGCCTGTCTTGCTTTTCCGATCCTGGCTTTGAGTATGAGCCACCAAAGTTTTGCTCAACCATCTAAGCAGACAATGTGATAATGGTATTTTTTAAAGACAGTTTACTTCATGTGTCCATGTTAGTTAAGTGACCAGTGGAAACCAATTATGGGAAAGTAACTGTTCCTGTTTAGTTTGAAATGTTTCAGGAGTGCTTCTCACTTCTCACCGGATCAAATGATAATGTTTTTTCGCAGTGAAAGCTTTATTTAAAGGGTCTAACCTGTTTTTTTAATAGGCTGGTGTCACGATTAGACGAAAAATGACTGACTAGTGACTTGCCAGAAGATGGATTCTAAAAAGCTGTAATAGCAGTTTACAAAGTACTGAAGGAGAACGGATGCCTACTAATGATGATGGATATCGGTTCGACTGCACTGAGGACTTAATGAAATTATAAGATGTGTACTACCAGATCCCAATGTAGTTGTTGGACCCCAACTGGCTTGCTGAAAGTGCCTGACTAAATACTGTTTGGGATCATAAGTGTACACTTCTCAACAAAATCATATCAGAAAAAAACCCACATGGTATTCTTCGTTTTTTTTCTAAGCTCGATTTGGCAGATAGTATCTTACTGGTGGCTGGCAATGGGATCAATACATTGCGTCATCCTACCTCAGGACCATCAGATAAATATGCCAGCATTCGAGTTAGTTCTGATGCTTCCATCAAGACAGATTCTCAAGAATAACAAATTCTTAAATAATTCAGACTTTCAGAAACTGATCGAGAGAGGAAGTCTCTTTAATTTACGGGTGAAATATATGAGAAGTGCATATGTGACATGAATATAAGAGAAATGATTGTACTCCTCTCTCCTTAATATAAAAATGCTCTGGCAAGTAGATGTGTGATCACACCGCCAGTAATGCTTTGCTTGTATATATCACATTTTTCAGATAAACTCCTTATTATTATTATTATTATTATTTGTACCCTGGGTTTCTAGTGGAACATAGAGCTTCAGTAGCACATCCTCATTCCACTCTCTTCGCTGAAATCTTTTAAACCTGGCTCCACGACAGCCCACAAGCTCTCATTTCTTCCTCATACTATCTCCTCCATGTCACCCTCGTCTCAGACGCCCAACTCGTCATTCCCACCTGGGTTCCACTCGAGTGCCTGGCTCGTGATGTCCCCGAAAGGTCTTCTCTGTACATGCCCAATCCATCTCCACTTCCTTCCAATGCATATTTGTTCAGCGACAGGTTCGGGGTTGGTTCGTTCCCACAGTTCCTTGTTGCTTATTCTTTCTCACCTTCTCATCTGATCTTCAGTAATGAGCCAGTGTAGGCAGTTGTTGATGAATGTCTGTAGTTTGTTGGAAATGCTTTTCGTGACGCGCCAAGTCTCTCAACCATACAGGAGCACTGACTTGACATTGGTGTTGAAAATCCGCATCTTGTTCCACATGTTGAGTGCAGAAGGTCTCCACACTGGTTTCAGGTTAATGAACGCCTGTCTTGCTTTTACAATCCTGCCTTTGACGTCCTCGTCTGTGCCACCTATAATTGAAACGGTACTGACCAGGTGAATAGGTGAAAGACACTACTTCCTTGAAGTTTCTCCCGTTCATGGTGATTGGAGCTTCTTGTTGCTGGTGGTGATGTTGGGTGGGTATCTTCATCACCCCTGTCTTCTCTACGTTCACCTGAAGTCCCATCTTGGCTGCTCTGCCCTGCCTCTTCTGTCAACTTGTTGGTTTCCGCCTGTAGATCTTCAGGTTTGTGCGATATTTGACACAAGTCATCGGCGTAATCCAAATCTTCTAGGTTCTTTTCCCCGGGTCTAGCGTATCACCCTCTTCTCGCTCCCCACTGTTTCTTACATTATCCAGTCGACCACAATCAGGAATATCATGGGTGATAGAAGACAGCCTTGTTTCACTCCTGTCTTCACTTCAAAAGCAGCACTGAGCTTGATATTGTGAATGGCTTGGCATGTGGAGTCTCTATATAGTTGTTGAATGAGACTGATAAGAGTTTGTGGTATTCCGTAGTGTTACAGCAACTGCCAAATTACTTGTCGGCCTTCTCAAAGTCGATGAAGTTGAGGTACAGAGTTGACTGGCATTCTATACTCTGTTCTATGGAGTTGCATAGTGTAGCGTAGCAATTTGATGCGCACATTATTTTTACTTCCTGAATCCAGCCAGCCAATTCCGGTCGTGGTTCTGAATGCAGCGCATCCTTCAGTCTCTCCAGGATGATGTGGCTTAATATTTTGCTTGCTTTGGGTGGACCTGAGCGCGATTCCGCACCAGTTCTTGCAAAGGCGTAGGTCGCCCTTCTTCGGGTGTTTGACAAGGTAACCCTTCTTCCAATCAGTTGTCAGGTACCTTCCCTTCCTTCCAGACTTTCTGCAATAGCAGTGTGAGCATGTCCGATGTTGTCTGCGTCTGCTGTCAGTGACGCTGGCAGGATTCCATCTGGTCCTGTTGCTTTCCCACACTTCAGTAGCTTTATGGTGCTCAGGACTTCGACTTTTGTTGGAGGATTTGTGTTCACTTGTAGTTCTGTGACTGGGCTGCAGGTGGTATTTCTGGACGAAGTGCAGGTGGTGGTCGATTCAAGAGCTTCTTGAAGTGGTCAGCCCATCATTTCCTTTGTTTCTCTTCTTTGGTAATTAGATTCCCTTCATCATCTTTTATTGGTTTCATCTGTGTTGATCTCTTCCCAGATATTCAGTAACCTGGTTATTTGATACAATGTTGTCAGGTCTCTGTCTCTCCTAACAACAGCCTGTTCTGCTTCACTTGCCAGTGTGTCGTGGAAGTGTCTTTTGTCTTTGGGTGCACTCTTCTTCACTTCTTTGTCCACTGTTTTATACACTGTACCTTCTTATTAGTTTGTTCAAATTCGCAAAAGATACCAACTGTTTCAAAATGGCAACCTATTGCCTGTATTTCAAGTGATATGGAGGAATTCAGATGAAAGTTGCTGTTCAACAACTATATCATTTTAACCGTGTAACAGATTACGTCTTAAAAGGGATAAAAAGAATTACTGTTTATATCATCTGAATCTTCTTATAGGCGTAGAATATCTAGTGTTTGTTACTGGAATCATCTTTTTAAAGAGTATCTAATTTACTCTTTTTTACTGCAGCTGTGAGCTCAAGTATGTACGTCAAAGAATTCTAACAGAGCATGAGAACACGGCTAACTGCGAAATCAGAAGTCAAACTTAGATAATTTACATCCAAATATTATGTGATGCACTATAGAAACTCCATGTAAAGAAGTATCATTACTTCCTCAAAAGTGAACTTAGCATTACCAAACATTCTGTTACTCTCAAACGTCCCATTGAAAAAACTTCAGACCTATTCAGAAATTCTATTTTGCTTGTATGAACTAACATTTTGGAAAGTCACTCTTCAGGGTTGGGAATATAAATGACAAGAATTAGTTTTTCTGTCATTGTTTGTCGTTCACTTCTAAAGGGTATTTTGTCAGTCTAATTTTACATTATAAATACCATATTATCACAGTGCATTAGGACTGAGTCACAATCCTAAAGACTGGTACTGTTAAGCGTGGAAAGAAACCGTTTATTTAATCTTGCTTACTTCATCGAATAAGCACCACAACAGGAATCATCCTGCGCCACTTTCAGAATATTATGCTGTCATTTCAAAAACCAAAGGATAAGAAGGATAAGTATAGCAGTAGTGCGATTACTTTAATATGACTATGGTCAAAAACATACTTCCAAAACTTCATGCAATTAATAATACTGTAGCAGTGTGTTATAGAAAATAAATGCACTAACACTAAGTTCATCTCCACCCCAATGTCCAAGTTCTAATCTAGCTTCACCTCACTCATTACACAACCTCGAGTCATTCAGCTTGATCTAAGTTCATTTTATTTCAACGACGTTTTGGATCAATTTAGGGATTAAAAGTCATTTAATGTAAAGCGGCCGTCCATCAGTCAGTAACTTACATCTGGATCTTATAATTAGAATCGAGACGTCGTTCTTGATTCCTCTATTTGGAGGTGTGTTCGTCAACAAGCAGTGGGAAGCAAGTGTCATTCGTCTGAACAGCATCCAGTAATAAGAAACGAAGAGTAGAATTTCAAGAAACAACCCCTCCTCCATAATCCTTATTGAGCAGTGTTTATATCTATATTTATTTCTTCTAAAATAGCGGAAAAATATAAAGAAACACCATGTTTGCGAGCAGAAGATATGGCAGGAAATGTGGAAGCTTTATTGAATGCATATGGTGATCCGAGTCAAACAGTACAATTTGCTGGTAAGCTTTACCGAATTCCTAGTCTCTATATTCTCTTACTGAACGCAAAAAGACATAAATGCATAAATTAACCCATGAATAGTGTATCATTTACTCTAAAAAAACAAGATCGTCAACTCTTGATCACCTGCCAACTGTAGTATCTTAACATGAACTATGTTCTCTGACTTCACTAATTTATACATAAAATCATAGTCTATTATGAAGCCATGTATGTTTTAACAAGATTCACTACGAAGAATGATACATTTCATCCAAGTGATATTATCAACTTGATAGAAATCCACAATATATATTACTGACTCAGATGAAGAGTTCGAAGCTGCTCGCTTCAGACTGCTCTATAATCGAACTAATTGGTCTGAGCCATTATTCATTCGGTCAGATCCCTCTGACCTTACAGTTAGTACTGCCAGTTTGCACTGCTGACCAACAAATACTCATATTAGGGATTAGTATTTACCATACACATTATCTGTTGTAGTTGTGATAGAAATACTACTTTCATACAACCCAGATGAGCATCCACTTCAGGGGAAGTTTAATAGACAGATATTTATTTGTTATCGCTAAGCTGCATTTCGGATCAACCTCCTATTAAATACCTCATACCGGCCAGAACTAGCATAGGTAGAATTTCTTAACACATTCTCTGCCTCCGGTTTGTGTTTTCCTGTCATGAATCAGAAAATGAGGAGGCTTCATAGAACAAAGTATTGAAATAGTGACTATAGTTGAGAACGGTTTTCACTAAATATACATGCATAAATGCGCTAAAACCTAACAAAGTTTAAATACTACCCAGTTTTTAATTACATATTGATATAAATAAGGTAATGACAATAATTCTGTGGACAAATTAATGTAGCTACACATCTTTCAACCCATAAACAGTACTACATTAATGACTGTTATTTTACTCTAATTATTGTGTCCTATGACTAGAGGAAGCAATAATAAATCGGCAAAATTTAACACTGTTGGGAAACTAACTAATTGTTTCATTTCCACTTCTAACCAACCAGTCTCCGATAAATTCGGTCTACAATAAGGTTAAACGCCACTACCCGTGATATGAATGCAACACTTAACTCTTCTTTCTGGTTAAATGAAGACTCTTAGGTGGAGACAACGTCCATGAGCTTACTTAAAATAAGAGTAAAATCTAATCTGACTATTGTCTGAGTATCGCCTATGATCAACGCCCCATAAAACTCCACAAATTCTCATTCATAAACAGATGGTCAATAAGCTTAGCGAACTGAGTGAACGCATACCTAACGCAAACCAACCTCCAGATTATGGATGCGAAGACATGTTGTTAAACACAAGCGCTTTACTTCAAACCAGAGTCCAAAATTATCTTTACCTACCTTACAGTCCTGTAAATCAATAATCTCTATGTATCACGCTCCAAATGCATCGTTACTCATCTTCCATTTCACACACAATGGTGAATACTAGCGTCTGTCGGATAGGTTTGTGCCAAATAGGTATGAAATGAAGAAACCTGAATTGAACAAATATCTCGGTTTACATTTATCATGATTCTGTAAGATTTCTCTCAATAGCCTTCAGCTTGCTGACCGTGTACTGGCGTAGAACGAACGAAACGCGATCAGCGACCTTCCTCACATCCTTGCAGTAGGCAATAAGCCGCATCTATTGTGTGGGAGCTAGTGATATTTCCCGGCTGCCATAACCTTGATAGGCGGAGCGGGGTTCTAAGTGGCGACTCACTGACTGTTAGACATCTCTTTGAGCAACGGTTCCATGTAATGGCGTGAAAAGTGGTAGAACCATGCATTAGATCTTTTTTGAGCGAAATTCCCATTACAAGCCAAGATATTACCATATGATACTTCCTCTGAAAAACAAAACGATCATCTACACTGGACCTTCTATGAACCGAAAATTCCGCATATTTCCAAGACAGATCAGGGAAACTGTTTATCTGTTCATGTACTATATAGAATTCAACAACCAACTACATCACCACAAATGTCATTGTTTATTAATCAACTAGTTTCTTCCATGTTAATCTATTATTTGTGGATATTGCCCTTTTATATTACTGCTAATTAAAATACCTGAAACATTTTGAATCAATAGGTTGATCACTATGTACATTAATGACAACTAAAGTTAGAAGAAGACTTGGGAAGTGAGAGGGTCCAGTCGACGAAGTTTGAATTTTGTCGAGATTCATGCTAAATTTAAATAGCATAAGTATCTGAATAATGTCAGCATTAGTCCAGTACACACATATAAATCTCGAAATAACAATTTAACGCATCCATGTACTTACGTTCAGATTCATCACTGTTCACTACAAAGCCACAATCTGGAATTATTTTCAAAATTTACTTTTGCCTACTGTATAAACATCTAAGTAGAATGACATAATTTATACAAGATACTATTGGATGAAAAATGACTGTAGACTAATTTCAGCCATAAGCAATGTTCGCTAGCCAGATCCAGATTTACTAACGTCAAATGGCTATTCCGCTCATTTAGAGACTAGGTGATATGCAGCGTACCCGAGATAACTGAGCTGAGGCAACCGAAGAGTTGGAACTAGCTTGGTTACAAGTGGCTGCTTGAGCCGACTGGCCATACCTAGAATTAAGTCAGAATCTTATGAAATATACTGTCGGTGGTGAGAAATCTCACGGTGATATTTCTCTTCGTGGACAGTGCATTTTCTAAACAAGTGACTTAATAGTTTCTCTTCTGAATACAGTATGAAATACTTAGTGAACTTCTGAGGGCAGACACTGCTTAATACTAAAGTTGTTTCTACAAGAAAATGTTCCAAACTTACCGATACTTGTTCTCGTGATACCAACCGGAATTACAGTCAAAACATACACAAAATATATTACTGTTAAACGGACGGTATCAATATCTTAATTCTAGTTAGGTTAAAATGCATTATATTTTGTGACTGGTGGTTAATATCAAACACCATGATGCAAAAATCTGCGAACTGACTCAGCATTCAAGTATTTTCATCCTACTCTCTGAATTTTCATGAACTTTTTATTACAACTGTGCTGTTTTACTGTTGAAGGTAAATTTGACATGTTCTTAAGAACCCTGGTTACTTAAAACTGAAGGTTACATCTTAAGGCTTAAAAAAGATGAATTGTCTTTTAAAACTAGAGTATATATTGTGCCAAGTGTTGCCGGTGGAAGGAATTTCACGAGAAATGATTATCCAGATGAACAAGTCATTAAACGATGCAGTAAAATTCAAGTCTAGGAATAATATGTGTATAATGGTATACAGTTATAAGTTGCTATTCAAATTATGCTTGTAATAGGTAACGTTGAAGCATTATTCTCACATTTATCAGTGTAAAACCATAGATAAGAAGCAAGCATTTTAATTACGAAAACCTAATATCGCAAAGCCCTTATTGTTTTTTACCCTTTAAATTTTAGCAGCCCCATGAGTAAAATAAGCACAAAACACTTCCGATCTTTAAAGCCAAAATAAGATAGCTAAACTGGTAAACGTTATCTGATTTTCTGTTTCAATAAAATTCATTTCGTAGTTTGTAAAGGAAGGATTTTAATATGTTTTGCTGATGTAGAGGATGACTATGGTAATTAGGAATTGGTGTATCTATGATGACTACTGCACTACACATCATCATATCAATATGGAAGTTGGAAAATACAAAAAGTGATAAAACGCATATCAGCAGTTGTAAGAGGCCATTGACGAAAAACAGGAACAGAATGAAGATATCTGACTTAAGGATTTAGAAGTGTTAATGTATCTTGGTCATCGGGATTCATTTTAGGTTACATTACTTAGATTCAGTCTCCAACCATTAAATCTGGCTGTTTTGTGAACAACAAAGAGGAAGTAAACTTCTTCTTAAGCGGATCAGGTTTGTGAGCGAAACCCCTATCTAAGCCTTTCTCCCATTTACATGAAATGCATTTCAGTTCATCGATTGCATGCATCAAACGGGTAAGCAGTATTGGTTGTTGAATGACGGTGATATGATTAGGAGCAGTAAACTTTGTTAGAAACACCATCCAACGAATAATAATTTTATACTGTGACACATTTATTCAACAAATTAAAATGGAATTGTGCTCTATGACAGTGCCTAAATTCTAATTCTATACGTAAGAACTGAAGTTTAAAAGCTCTGTCTCATAAAATTGTAAATGCTCACGTTTCCGAAGGGAATCTAGCGTTTAAAAAAAGCAGAAACATCATCATATTTCGATGATATTACTGTAATCTAGATATTTCTGACAAAAACAATTTATTATTCAGAAAATGGATAGACAGATTGGTTGGTACAGAACTTCATATCAACCTCAAGTCTTTTCATTTCACAACATCAAAACAGAGTGAAGTTAAAATGTAACTGACAACTATTGATTTGAATATGATGTATGTCAATAATCCTGCGCGCTTTCCCTTCTTGTCGCCCACCCAAATCCCCATTATGCCACGTGATTTAATATTTGGTTACATTTCAAACCATAGATTTATTTCGCCGACACCCTTCTAGACATTTTATTTACCTCGAAACATGAATGCTTCGATTAATGTAAGTTAAGATTTGGCTTTAATAGATGACTAAATTCTGTGAATATTTTACAGTCTATCCACACTACTACACAATGAAGTGAATCAGTAATAAAGTAACTCAGCAAACTGGTACGCTTTTATATACCGTCTTATCAGCCACACTTAGCATTTGGTTACTGGTGACAGCTTTCGGTTTCCAAGGCTAAATTTCAGTTAAATGAGTTCAGCTTACGAATCAACAGCTGACAGTGAAATCTAGATGAATGAAGTCCACGAAAAAGGTTTAGGCTGATTATGGATTAATAAAATTTATGCTTTTTAGGTAATCATGCTGAAAGAAGCATTCTCAGACGAGTGAATAAAGCGTAATCAGGTTAATAATCTTTATTCGAACTGGCCAAATAATTTAAGATCCAGCAAAGAGACAAGAAAGAATGATGGTCTCTCATTACCACGCTTCCTACAGCGATTTCTGTGAGTGCTGGAAGAATAAACAACTAACAAAACAGAATTAATGTGATATTCTACGTAGCTTTATAGTTATCATATATATATATATATATATATATATATATATATATATCATAGTAACCACAGGACTTGAATTCACGTCGTCGCTGGTGACCATTAAGTACTTATGTCACATCCTTTGTTTCACTATTCTGAAGTCCAGATTTGAAAATCTTCTATGAACCGTGACATTCAATGCTATCCAAATGATCCTGGCCATTTCTGTATCTAGTTATTCTCACAGATATTCATCCTCATCTTTTCATTCTGGTGTTCATCTCTTATAGACGAAAAAGTTAATATAAATTTACAATAGCAGCTTTTTTGTATTTGTACAATATACTACTGAGGCATTTTAAGTTGAAACATATAATTTGTTATAATTTCCTTGGGAATAAAGTTTAATCAGCCGTTTTTCAAGCTTAGTTATATTTGAAAATCATTATTCACACAATCACGTTAAATGCGTATTGCAGCACATTAGCAGATTGCCAATTTTGTATTAGTTCTATAACTGAAGTAGAAAGGAAGCCTAGATTACAGTTGATTGCAAATTCACAGACATTTTAACATCAGTTCAGAAATCGCTACAGCATCAATTTTCCTTGATATTGGAAATAACATCGTCATTCCCTATTGCTGAAATATCTCTTCCCAGTCAGTTGAATGTTATTCAGAACTACATCGCAATACTGTCTTTTAACTTCCTATTAGTCATTTTTTAAATAAGGAAACAAACTTTCTTCAGATGTGACTACCGTAATTCATATTTTCCTTTAACACATTTATGCTATCAGAAAGAAAGGAGAAAGTGAAGTGAGAAAAGAATATACCTGAAGTGGCTTCCATGCAAAACTATATCCTAATGGAAAAAAGGTTGTGCTAGTCAGCATATGTTTCTGTATCTAATGCCTTTGTGCTCAGTTTCAATAATAAAACTTATTTCAGTACCTAAATCATCAAACCTGCTTCAGGATCAAGGAACGAAACTAAAATAATCACCCAGTGGGTAAATGAACTCCTAGTCTAAAAATTACCAACCTGACATTCAACAAAAAAGTAGTACATCTTGATTGCCTATTATATCTCTATTTTATAAACCAATTCTGTATGAAAGGAGAATATGTGACGGCTAAATTCTTAAACATATCAGCTAATGAACTATAATTTTTTCCCTACTTCAAACTTACTTGAACTAAACCTATACTTTTGGCTGGTAGTCACTGAATATAGTATTCAAAAAATTACAAATTTATAAACAATGAAGAAGGATTGCAGTTGCACCAGAACTCCTATCACTGAAATCCACCCTCACTCAGAAATGCACAACTAATTAGTATTACAATTATATCATTTTACACATTCGTTGTAAAACGTATCTACTGTTATTCATTTTCCACTCTTAGACGCAGAAGAGTTTCCACCACCTCCGATAACGGCTGTTGGCGCAAAAGCAAACTATGAACACTCGCAGAACCCTTATCAATTGAGTGTACAAGGTGGCGCACCACCAATAAATCCCAATCAACAAAGTGGTAAACGTTTAAAGCGACCAACTTATGGTTCAGGTCGAAGGTATTCAAGCTCCATAGGTAATACAGCATTAGGTGTTGGTGCAGGATGTATGTTAGGCGGAATCAATCTACAACTACCTCAGCTGGATGGAATACAACGTATGCAGAAGATATTAGACATGCGTCTACAAAATCTTCAGGTAAATTGATTGAATTGCCTATCTGACTTGGTTGAATCAGTGCTTTTTTCTAATTAACTAATTTGTTCTGCTTCACTACAAAAACACACAAACCCCTGAAACTTTTTAACCCACTTTAAGATTAGTAGCTCCATACTTTCTATCAAAAAATCTACGCTTGCCCTTCCCATCACCTGCGCAACATTGTGAGAACTACCCGACGATTTATCAATACCATCGCTGTTTACAAATTGCAAAACTCATGAGCTACCCATACAGGGACCTTTATAAGACAACTTTTAAGGTTGCACAGTTAAAAATCATGATAAAATTCATCAATTTTTAATGAAAGCGTTTGTATGTTGCTTCCGTACAGATTTTTTAAAACACTTCTATTGGTCTGTTTGTTCCCTTTTAATGTGTGCTACTCGAGTTTTTAGTTTTCAGATGGCCAACAATTCAAGGTGACCATATTTGTCGAGAATATGTTTTAAAATGAACGTCTTGCGAACTTTCGTTACTAAATGGTTGATATATCCTTCTGAGTTGAAAAGCCGCTCCACCGTTTGAAAAACTTTCGAACGCTTTTATTATCAAAAGTAATGGCAAGTGAGTACCTTATGGCTTCATATGCAAGAGGATAATTAGTTGTCAACCGATCTAGTTACGAAGTGTAATACTTGTTACAGGCACCCACCATCTCCATTCTTAATAGATATTCTTCCTGCAAAATGGTCTCATACTTGTAGATCCTTTCAATGACCTAAAAGGCACACGAAGTAATGATCCACTGGCGGAAACCACCAACTAAGTGGGAAATCATCAAGTCTTTTACAGCATTTTTCTTGTACCCAAACGGCTAGAAATGAAATTTCCATGCCACGCTGCATATCTTCTGAAACTGAAGTAGTTAGACTGAGGCATCACTGGATTTTACGAAAAAATGAAACATCATTTGCTTATCACGGAATGAGGTATATCACAAAAAATGCATTTGGTTTGACCATTGCAGCGGCTAAGTAGCCAGTTGGGTATGGAATCTGGATAAGTTTGCATGATAGCATACATGGCAAATGCCTTTAATTGTCATCTTTATCAGATTTGGTGTGAGATTAAGAAAAACTCAAAGTTATCAAACCTAAACGCTGTGAACATTTAGTTGTTTACTAACTCATTTTTCTAAATGCTAATCGATAGTTTTGCCCTAGTGAAATAGAATAAGTGAACGAAAAGTTGGATTAGAAAGTTGAAGATAAACTCAGCTGATACACACGGATTCATCTTTCATCCTATACACAAAATTTCAAACACTGTTTTTCAAGTCATTAGTATAGGTGCAAAACTGTAGTAGAATTTAATTCCATATTAGATTTGTTTATTTGAATTATAACACACAGCGATATAGTATTATTTACTTGTTGACGTTTCGAGCATAAATTATTATTGATCATAATCACATCAATGTCGAAAGTTGTGTGATCATATTGATATGATTATGAGCAATAATTTATGCTCTAAAAGTCATCAAGTAAGTAATACTGGATCACTGTGTGTTATAAATCAGATCAACAAATCTAGCATGGAATTATATTCTTAAAGTCCTTACACACCTTTTGCATTATTTTCCCCATCCGTGATTATCCATTTTCATGGCCTTATGCATGCCAACCTTGTTGGCTGATTGCACATCTCAGGCTGAGATAAGCTGAAAACTCAGGATGAGGATGCTGATAACTGATATCCCAACAGTCAAGATAGTAAATGATCATAAATGCTTCAGGATTAGGCTCAAAGACCATCAGTACTTCCCTTTTCTATAAATTACATGCTAATGGACTATTGTGGCTTGACACCAAGACATTAACTGTGGAATATAAATCCCGAGAAAGTATCAGATAGCGATCCCACACAAGTCAGAATATCATGTTGCATTAATATCAATGATATACTTGTAAGAATTATGAAATAAGTTACAAGATTTTCCACCAACTATTTTCTACCGAAAATATAGATTATTCATAAAGAACATTATTTTTTGCAGAGATGTAAGGCCACATTTGTTACCCTAGTCCATTGTCATGAAATAAGTAAATAACGTTTCAAATTAATCTACTTCAATTAGACCTTGATTTACAAAAATAAGGTGAAAAATGGATGGGCTAACAAATTCAAACCCATTGTCAGCGGCAACAAATGGCGTGAGCACAGAAAGATGGTATAATCAAATCCTTACAGATGTTATAAATCAGTTTTCGAAGTTATTTTGAAATGCATTTTATTCAAGGTTGGATGCCTATTCTAGGATAAAATTGAATATAATCCTTCCATCCTATTTCACAGTTTAGGAATAAGCTTTTTTTACAATGAACTGGGGACAATTTATGTATTCCTGTCTATGGAGATAGGTAAAGTCATAGGTAACACATTAATTGATAGCTCGAACAACATTGTCTTCTATTTATTTTTTAATTAACATTCAATTCAAAAATAACTTAAAAATACCACCGGAAGAAAAATTAACATGGTTATATTTTGAAATATATTTTCCTAATCTTTGAAAATAAGAAGCACGTGAAATTATGCTTGTATATTGAAATTCAACAGATAACCTACAGAAAATAATTTGCATGAAAATCAACCTTAGATAAAAGTTGCTGATTTGCAGGATCAGAAAGTGTGAGCGTAATTCCTAGATAGTATTTATCTAATAATCAAGTTAGTATTATTTATTACGTCAAAAATGTATGCAGTTAACTTGGCAACTTCTTGCAAGATGAAGGAATTGGTCATATGTGATGTTCTCGAGTCAAAAACACCTTTCCCACTCATTTTAGTTGGTCAATATGATCTCAAGAAACATCTAGACAGATTAGTGATGATTAACAGCTCAATTATTAAAGAAATTCACACTTCAAGTTTCTCCACATGCTGAAAAAAAAATACATATAATGACTCAATTCAAATGGTGTTTACGTACCTGAACATGAGTCCCTTAAGAAGCTTCACTGACAGATCTTTGAGTTCAGACAATGTTCAATAAATGGCGACGATCATCTAAGATGTTAGAAAAATTCGGTATTAGTATTAAAATTTGGTAGTTAACCAACTACTCGATTTCTGTCCCAAATGGAGGTAAGTAAAATGGCTGAGAGTGACACAGATGGGCATCTTGATAGTGTGAATGCCCGCATTGCATACCGAGCATAGCACAAACTAACTGTACTTCAGTCACGTTCAAGAAAGCAGATAATTTCAAATTCCTTGATAACCTCTATTGATTGGAGTTTTTCCCCGAGAAATAGCTAATCTTTGCTTAAACGGTCTATAATTAGGTCAAAGTAGAATTCTAAGTGAGAATTCTGTCTCAAAAAGCAGGTTTAAACCTCTGAAGCTGTAAGTTTAACTAGCCGCTGATACAACACTAAAATTTTCTATACTTAGCTGTTCATACTCTGCCTGTCATGTGGTATGACAGTAAATGCTAGGGAAATATCTACGCCATATCATCATTATGAATGACATGATGATTCATTACTTTAAAGCCAGAAAAAACCTACAGCACTAATAGACCCATTGCTAGAAGAAAAAGGTTACATATTTATGGATTTCTGCATATACTTGGGACAAAACATAGCCGATAGATGTCTTCACCGTTTCTAGATTCTGTTTTCTGATGAATTCTTTAAATTGAAGTAACAAAATATCGTTTTGGAGTCCCAGTATGCAAGTACAATTACAGATTTTACTGAAAACTATTCCCAAACCAAATTAATATCCAGAAACCATGATGCATTATATAACCTCTTTGGATAACAGTCGAACATTACTTACAGTAGGTCTCATAGCTAAACTGATAGAAAAAGACCACCTTCGCAATCTGTTATCCTCTCAGTTATTATTGCAGACACTGAAAGCATTGGTTAAGTAGCTAATTCTTTCTTTAAAAATAACTTTCAATTATTGAAAATCACCGGAAAACTAAGAAATAAAACACTCTTTTTCATAGGCTCAATCGGACCAATTGAACCACGCATCTGGCAATGCTCGAATCAAAGAGGAAATATCTCACGTTCGTCAACTGATTGGTGAAAGTCAGAAAGCTTTATCAAGTATTGTCAAGGCTGTGTCACAGATGCAAGACCAAGTAAATCTTATTATATTTAACCTTAACAGTTTTCTAAGCATAACTTAACCCCAAGTACATCCTACAGCCAAACATAGGATTTATTTGTCAATAATTAGTACTCAAAAAATGTTAAGTCTTCAGGAGAGACAGTAAAAGCTTGCGTTGAATATCGCCATTGAAAGTATCACAGTAGACAAACAAACCTTGACAGTACTCCCATTTATTCCACCACACAAGCACAAAGTTACAAAGATACCTGCAATAAAAACCTGTATTCTGATTGCATTTAGTTTCCATGTATATATCTCGTAGCTAATTAAGACAATAGCCCAAAACACTGCACAGTATACATATCATTAGCAGAAAGTGGAATATATGACTGACTCAAGAGATTATATAGATAGGCAAAACAACACATATATTTCCGATTCTAGCTGAAAGTCTGTCAACAACAACATAAAACTGCTAATTAAACCACCAAGATAAGCTAAGTGGTCGACTCAATCTACAACTTAACTCCTTTTACCTAAAAAACGAATCGCCGAAGTTAGTGTACAGGAGAATAAACTTAAGCTTGACAAGTGCGAACAAACACAAAATGTACACACACTTCTACTAAGTGTTCGGAACACTACATTTTAGTGCCTGCTTCACCTAAGGGAAGTACGTCATCTGAACACTTCAAGTCATCCAGGAAACCTAAATGGACCAAATAACTCTCTGCAAAGTCGGGCATGCATACGACTATGCACATTAGCACGTCTGAGAAAAACTCAACCAACAATGGGAACAAGGCATTTCAGACAGGCACCATTGCTTGTCATTCATTCAACCGAGAACTCTCCACAAACCCTGCTTCACTTCGAGCACATAAACTTGATGCCCACAATAACTTGGAACTCTGTTCACATCCAAACATACCTGTGGCTCAGTGGTTCCAAGAGATAACTATCAACTATTCGGTCATCAGTTCGAGCCCCAAGCCACCTACCGATATTTATCAAGCCAGATAGTATCACTAGCCCTCGCACTATAGGTGTGGCTCACTGCACATATGTCCACAAGGTGATTGAGTGCGTTTCGTTCGTTCCACATTCAGACACTGACACAACAGCTCTCACTCGACATAGTGCAAGGCCGCATTCAGGTCAGTCGTCAAGTACGTGCACACTCTAAAACCTATCTAGGAGCTAGGACACGATTAATCCACACTCATCCAGGTCCAATACCTGACTGATTCTCTCCACCCTCTTATTTCCCAGCTCCAGTTAAGTATCGAATGAATATGGACCAGAGCATCGCAAATACGATATCAGAAAAACTGATAACCACCACCTCCATATTAACCGGAATGATCAGCGATCTACATCAGTCTCATGCAACTACTTCGAATCCCCCTACACCAGCTAGTATATCAGGCACCCCACTAGGGATTTCTGCGGACATCAATAAAAAATTACTAGTGACAAATCGTCACTTCCTGCTGCTTCGCGCCGCTTCAGCTATGAAACAGATTTCTCACCTTCGAGAGGCGATGAAAATCGATATTTATACCCTATTCTAGCTCCAAATGATAAGTGAGAAAACAATGCGCAAATGAAAAACGCTTGATCCGTTTTCCAGTGTGCCACCGAACAAAATATAGCCTGAAAATCACGAAATGGCTGTGTGAATAAGCACAACCAGATGTCTCCTCCGTAAGGTGGCAAGGAACAACTTTTACTAACCCAAATTCTTCCTCACCCACATCAAGAATTAATAGCCTCCCACACAATGGACACCCGACAAGTGTTAGCCACCCCCACAAACCTGTAACCAATCAATTACCTCAAATCACTCTCCATCCTCCACCTTCCACATCCTTAGCATCTAATCTACCTTCACGTCTCTCACTCAACATCACTAATCTCTTCTAGCTCTGCAGACCTTGGTCAACATCTCAGTTCACAGAATAGCGTCACTGGTCTAATTATACTCAGATCCAAACTATACACTCGCGCTCCCAATGTCCGAACCCTCCATCAAATCCACCAACCAGCTTCACCAGCCGAAACTCTGGTATCGCAAACCATGGATGCGTGTTGTGTTCGTGAGACACAGACGAGATCGAAGTGTACTTACCCACTTAACCTCATCAGGTCAATATAATGAATCCGCAAAATTCATGCTTACAGTTTCTGCAGATCCTATGGTTAGGTACGGTGGTCTTCCAAGCATAGACAGATCACTGAGCGCTAAGGAAGAAAAGTCAGTTCAACTGGATCCTAATTCACAGTCGATTAGGTACTGTTCGACTGAACTGAGAACCATAAAGAACAGTGAAACTCACCGCTGTCTCCCCGTATTCTCTGCTTCCTTATACACCCAATGACCGCAATACAAAAGAAGAGAAGAATAAGTTCTACAGAAAACTGTCTAGCCTCCCACTGACATCGAAATGTTCAGATATGCTTGTCATTGTAGATGACTTCAATGAACACGTCCGTACGCCAACACAGGCAGAAAACCACTTGCGTAGCACATTCAGAATCTCGACAGAAATGCGATTGAATGCTACAACTGTCCTCAGACAACCATTTATTTCTGGTCGGTATGAATTCTAGACATAAAGAGAGATGTAGTCTGACGTGACACCAATTGATCTCAACTCACAGTGATTAGACTGACTGAGACAACCAAATCACACGCATATGCATTAGATCAAGTCCCCACACTTCACAGTAGTACACAAAAAACAGGTGAATAGAAAAAGGGTGATATCAAAGCACAAAAAGTTGTGAGATAGTAAACAATCTGAAGATAAAGGTTAGCGTGAATATTCAAGCTTTAGAATATGGCAATGAGTGAATACATCTGTGCTATTGTGAGCGATCTTCAGCCATGTTACCAGGAGTTCTCAACCACTAATTCCTTTCATCTCGAGGACCGCAGGCACCTAGACTACGTCTTCCCACATGCCTCAGGCCGACATTAAGAGTGGTGCCAAGTCTGCATCTGGCCATGCTGAACCTTTTCCAAACCTAATCCAACTTCCCATCTCACCAAACTCTCAGTTAGGCAGTGGTTGGGCATGCGCAGTACATGTCCAACTCACCTCAGTTGACCAAGGTTTACAACCTCATCAATCAACTAGCCTGGCTTACCTAGTACCTTCACCTGACCTTAAACTTGCTCACACGGTGATTCCACCAAACACGAGCAAAACTATGAAGACACCTATGTCTTCTACTTTCAACAACCATGTCTCACAGTCACACAAGAGGACGAAACAGACTGCAGACCAATATAATCGTTTTTTGCTAGATAGTTGGGTATCTCACGATTTGGCCCCAGAGATAACACAAGCTAGCAGATGCCAAACAGGCCATTTCATATCCAAGCTGAGATTTTGTCAGAAACCGGGTAGTGCGGGCTGATGTAACTTCCCAGGTAGGTAAATTTGTCGACACATTCCACTACTTCACTCCCTATCATTAAATTGGGAGCGGTTTCAGACCAGGATGTCCCTGGCTAACAACAAGTTGTCATCAATTCACGTGACGGCTGCCCATAAGCCCTTCTGCAGCTTCATGAGTTCCAGTGGAGAGCTTTGATTGGCGATACATACTTGATCAGTATTCACTCCACAGTCAGATACTGCAACAACAACTAACAATCGACTGAGTCGAATTTCGTTATCATGTCAAAGAAGGTGGGAAGTGTTGGCCACCAGTATGTATGCCTGATGAAGGGTGTCAATCTCATAGATCCACCCTCACCCAGCTCTGTTTGAAACCTGTCTGGTTCGATCGAGTTTGCTGTTCTCATTCCCCAGACAGGGGTTGGATGAATATAAACGCTAGGATCTTGGACACAATATTAATCAAACTAATTCCCATATGGTTGTCGCATGAAGACTTCTCTCCCTTCACATACACTAGAAGGGTCAGTGAAGTACACCAGTTTGACGACACTACCTCTGATCCGCACACACTAACTAGTACCTCCGTCACTTTAATTAACGATTTCCTACCTCCATCCTTGAAAACTGCATTTATCAAGCCATCATGTCCTGTTTGCTTTGCATCGTTTCAGATGCCATACAGCTTTCTCAACTTTGAAGAGAGTTGAAGGACTGTCAGCCACGTCCCATTCAGGTTCGGGCTGGCTGGATGTTGGGAACTGAAACCAGTTGAACTGTGTTTCAAAGTTTTCTATCCAACGTTTTAACTACCTGACGTGAGAGGTCATCAGCGTTCCATCCCCTTCGGTGACGGTTTAACTCTCCATCGCCTTCTTCTTGTCAGTATCCTTAACATGCCTAAGTAGCTGCCAAGTGCTATCTATCGCTGATGCCTTCTCCATCTTTCTCCCTTTCGTCAACCACCACTGCTCGCGATCGGCACGAAAACAACGTGGTTAGAACCGGATAGCTGGAACCAGTCTACTTACATCAATCAGTTCCGATGATGACGCGGAAATTCAGTGACGTTGGGTAACATTCGGCTGTAGGCTACCAACTATCTTTACCGCTCTTTCTACATTAGTTTGAATATCACGCTTTTTCCTCCAACTATGTGCATTGTTGTCACGTTCACACAAATGCACAACTAACTCCTCCCTAAAAGCAGACTTGAAGTTCTCATCATCCAACTGACTACAGACCAGCTTTACTATCACCTGTTTCCTCCCACCAGTAAGGCGAAAACATACAGGAGCCTGTACTAGCGCGTGATCGAAGTCAAAACAAGCACTACGTAGATATCAGAGTCCCTCCACCAAAGGCTTATCGCAATGTGATCTATCTGTGTCCATCGCTGATTTCAAGTCGGCGGACGTCAAGTGAAACAGTGTCTCTTCTTATGTCTGAAGTTAGTGCTGGCCAGAAACAAGTGATTGTTGGAGCGAGTCCACGAGACCATTGAGTCTCCAGATACTCGTAAGGGAAATTTTGAATATCAACCTTTCCTAACTCCACCTTCCCACTCAGAAGGCAGCATCAGCATTACACTTCCGGCCATCCCACAGGGAACAACTCA